TAGAACATTATGATTAATGTCTTATATAATCAAAGGAATATTGCTTGAAAATGATACACACAATTTTCCAAAGCATGGTTAGATTTTAAAATAAATAAAAGAGAAAAATACATATAGTAATAAAGCAGCTTTGTGTTTCTGGGCATTTGGCAGCAGGTCTGTTATACTGTCTCTCAGACATCTCTTGGTATCAGTTAAAATCAACAGATGAATTGATCATTACAAAAGAAAAGATTGTACAATATTATTACAATCCACCAAATATAACCAATGCATGAAATATTTTACACATTATATATCCTTTAAAAAGAATGAATATATTTTAGCCTGTCCTTCAAAAACAGATAGCTTCTGAAGTAATATATTTGAAACACAGTGGTATCTGTCACTTCTACTGTCTAGCTGATTTGGTTTGTTTTTTTCTGAATAAAAGCTCATTTGAATAGGACTACTAGCTCAGCGATGGAACTACAGTGCTATTAACTAAATTCCATATATGTCTTTGTTACTGTTGCTGCAGTTATTGTCATCACATACCACTGAAGTGCTAAATATTAGTAACTCAGATATGTGGACTTTGGTTATGCTTGATAGAATACTGGCAATCAAATATACGTACCACTTCCTAAAGGCTATGTTACAATCATGATGCCTAGTAATAAATAATAACAACAATCTCAGATTCAAAGTGCTGACCCATATCACTCACTTGAGGCACCAACACATGAATCAATCAATTAAAAGACTTATTTGTAATGTTCAAAACTAACAGAGCAGTTCTTGGGCTGCCAAGTTACATGCACAGCACAGAAGACTCTGAGCCTCTCTTTCCAACCTGGGGATTCCTGTGTTCCCAGAAGACATTGGAATAACACATCTGATGTGTAATGTTCCAAGACATACCCGGTTTTCAGACATGGAGCATTAGAAGATGTCTAAGCTGCTTTAAAGGCTTCAAAGGCTCTCTTAAACTCCCTCAAGCATATTCCATTCACTCAGGGATGAGGCTTTGTCATATATTGTACTTGGCTGCAGACCAGGGAAGAGCCTTTCATGAAAGTCCACAATGAAATGCATCACACTGATGCAGCTTTCACACCCAGGAGACGCTGTCACCACTGTCAGCATGAGAGGGCAAAGGCAGCTTTCCAGCAACACCTGTCTCACTGGAAGGGGGAAACTTCTCATGTTGTTAGTTTGCTCTGTGCAAGCAGTAATCGTTTTCAGTGTCGAGAGAGCTGTTGTACCCTGATGATGGATACAGGTCCCTCTTCAGTATCCTGTTGACTATGTTGATCAGAACTTTTTTGTACTGTTGACGCAGAAGTGAGTAAACAAATGGATCTGATGCAGCCTTACTGTAGGTGAGGCACTTGCTTATAATTCCCCAGTAGTAATTTATGGTAACAAAAGGAAGGAGCTCTATCAACCTGTTAAACATTAAAGAGAGATGGAAACACTCGTGTTATATTCACACTGAGCCCAGTGTTCAATGCATTCTTCATGAAACATTGAAGTAACACTTTCCTACAGTACACAATCCCTGCAGGATAAGGGCCCTATATTTGTTTGCTCCTTGGACTCGATAAAGGCAAATTAAACTTTTCTAGCAAGGCCAGTGGGAGACAAAAATCATTCCCTCTGTGGAAACAGAGTAAATGTGTGTTTTCAGTGTTGATGCTCCTGTGCCTGTGAGATAAGAAAGTGTTGTGGTTTATTGCTCATTTTCTGAATTGAGACTTGTGTTAGCCAGTGGGGAAAATCTTGGTGACATAGTTGACTTGAGGCATCCAGGTCCACTCAACTCTGTTGCCTAAGTACAGCTGTCTAGTGACACTTGAGACATGTGGGCATAACCCCTTCAGCATCATGCTACTGCTTCTGGAGGTTGTGGATCTTTTCTAGGTCCTGTGTCATGTCTGCCAACCTATGTAGAAGTTTTGGATGCTATGCAGCATCTCAAACAACACCAGACACCTGGGCTAGACCACTGAATCCATCTCCTTGGGTACAGAACAGTGAACTTGCATTATACCACATCACATAGGCAGAGTGAATTAATGGTAAACTGTTGTATGAAGAAAAACATGGCAATATCTCAGAGTGATTTGGGTGGCACCTGCAGTCCCACAGTGTGCTTAGGAGCACAGCTGTACCCACTTACCTGTGAAAGGTCCTGCGTGCACTTGGCTGGCCGCAGGTTTGGCCAAAGAAAACAAGGAGACAACACTTATCATCATTATATGACTAACCAGCTGTCTCCAGACCTGTGTCTCCTGGTCTGTGCTTCAGAGATGATTAGTGGCCTCAGCACTGCCGCTAAGATGGGTGTATTAATCATGGAGAGTGAAACCGCAACTAAGTTAAACAACTTTTCCACTGAAGTGTTAGCAAACCTTCACACTCTTCCAGCAAATTTCTGGCATACAGCTCATCTGCAGTGAGCAAACACTCCATGAAGGTGGAAAGAACAGGGGAAGAAGTTTTATTATCTGTACATCTTTTATGAAATCTTTTGCAGAAGCATAAATATAAAATTTCACTATATTCATTCCAGAAGAAAAACAAAACAAAACAAAACAAAAACGGTACCATGAGACAAAATAGCCCTTTTCTGTACCCTAAACCATGACTGTAAGATGATGTTTCCTCAAGGCTTGAAGAACCTTCTGGCCTCTTTCCAAAGTCCCTACACATAGAAAAGCTCACTTACCACCACCAGGACTGAACATTGCAACAAGTGGTTGAACTCTGATAGGAAAATTTCTCATTTGTATGTGTAAAAGTGAAACCATTCATATGGCAAGTGTATTTAAAAACCAGATTACTTCTGTCTGAAGCTGCTTGGAAAAAAATTCCAGTGAATTCAAAACAGAAATTTTGGAAAGAAAGAAAACAAGAAATGAATGTACAAAAAATGATACTTGCTCTATAGTTGCTTAGGTTTGTCATCCTGTATATCATCCTAATACAAGAAGTATACATTTGATCTTTCCATGATTGATTTTTTTTTATAAAGACACTAAATAAGAAGAGTAAAGTATCATAAAAATAGATGTATTGCTATGTGTTCCTTTTAATGTATGATGGGCCCAAACATAATTGCACTGAAGCCAACAGAAGAAAAATTACACTGATTTTAATAAGATAAAGGGCCTGGCCAAATCAAGTCAGCCTTAGAAACATCCATCTGAATGCATCATAGTATCATTTTCTTGTTTTCAGGGCTGCTACAAAAAAAAAAAGATGATATTCATCTGTCGGCTCTTAGTGAACAGACAAATATATTGCTAATGATGATAATCTCATTCACATTTCTGAAATGAGGAGGAAATACTGAGCTCACAAAGCAACCTGAGTCACCACACCAAAGAGCAGGAACACGGGGAGAGTATCTTTCACATTGTCTGCAGAGAAATTGCTTCAGTGCCACTTCCGCCTAAAAACCAGAATGGGGGAAGAATGGTGAAACAGGCACAGCAGCAAGTCTTCCAACCTCACCTCCACCAACTTCTCTCTAGTGCTGCCTGGACATTGCCTTGCCTTTGGCACAAAATGTCTCTGGGGATGTCCTCCCCAAATACTTTCCATTTTTCTGTCACTGAACCAAGTCAGTCCTTGTGACTGAGACAGAAGCTGTACATTTACATGCACATTTACATAAACCAATCCTCAGCCTTCTCTCTAATGGCACACGAGATACCTACCAGTTTGTCACACATCTCACATTTTGCCAAATGCAAGGTCTGAAGAGGGAAGTCACTTTTATTTTAAAAGTTTATGAGAAATAGTTCCACTCTGAAAAATGTGGCAATGATGGAATTTGCTGAGCTTGGTAATGTTCAGATGGAAAGAAGATCAATATAATTATATCCTGATTATGGCAAAAGTAAGTAGAAAATTACTTAGTATGCTCCGAACGGTGATCATTTAACCTTTTAACTCTATGATGTAATGTTAATATTTGTAATAATCCTTTCAACTGCAGAAAAAAAAATGCAGGTATCCAGGCAATCAGTCAGGAATCCCTTGCAACATGCAAAAGGGAACTGAAATAAATGTCAACATATAGGTTAAAAAAACTTTCTCATTTTTGGGCACTGGCCTAAGTCTGTCCCCTTACCCATGTAAGAAAAGAGCAATGACAATGATCATAAACAGCCTATACATATGTGTGTGTGTGACTGTGTAAAATTAGTGGACTAAAAGTGGCTGATTTCTGTAACATGGTGTGGCTGCAGACCCTGGCATCTTGCTATCAACCTTGAGGAAGCCCTCACCAGGGTAGTTTTGCAGGCTAGTGTAGCTGCCTCCACAGAAGTCAGTTCTCTTCAAGGGTGTCTTGAACACACTGTGAAGTGGGAAATATTTTAAAATCACTTGTGAAAGATGTAGTCTATTTTATTTTAAAGATTAAAGGCTAAATCCTGAGGTGCTGCAATTCAGTATCATTAACATTGGCTTCCAGCTCACTGATTTATGCAAGATTTTAAAATAATAACCATATGTTGCATAAAGACTGTACAAGTACAGAAAGAGAATGATGCACGATGACATAAAAAGGTGCAAACGCCAGGGTGGATGCCAATAATTCTGGCCATATTGAGGAGTGTGCTGTTTCCTATGCATTTTAAAAGTCTAATTATTGGTTTTCTCAGGAGGAAAATCTTACACCTCATCACAAGGCCCTGCTGCACCATTAGCAATGTATTTACAGACATTAATGTTTCCAGACACAAAGCTTATCTGAAAAATTATCAGCCTGGATAAATTTAAGTTATGTCATCTCAGCTTCTAATAGCAGCAAGTTTGGCCTTAGACTTTAAAAAAACCCAACCAAACAAAAAAAAGCCTAACAACTTGAGCTCATAAGGAAAAGCTTTCTGCTTTTCTCTCTATTGTTTGAGTCGTGCTAATAAGGAAGGGTGGCAGGTCTTTTAAACTGCTTTCGTCTCCCACTGGCACGTAATTAATTCCTGGTACCTGTCCTAAAAGCCTCTTGCTCTTGGCAGGAGTACCCAGACCTGGCTGCAATGAGGAAAGGAGAGCCCAAGGCTGCCAAGGCTTTGTCCAGCAGCCTGGGTGTGCAAGCAGGGTCGATGTGTATGTGAGTGTGTGGTGTGCTGTGAGTGTGTGCTTTGCCCCTCAGAACCAGCCCTGGCTGTCCATCAGGCTCTGAGACCAAAAATTAGCTGTAGCCCCCCCAGGCACCTGTGAATCTGAGGGCACACCAGTCCCAGAAACCCCCCCACCCCAACAGGTGATACTAACCTGGTGATAATGTAAGGACCAAAACAGACCACGAACGACCCTATAAAAATACTGATTTTCTTTGTAGCCCTCTGCCTCCTCCGCTTCTGCTCATTAAGGCAGCGCTGCTTCACACTGCAAAGGGAAAAGAGCCGGTGGTGGGTTAAGGCACAGAGGGAGGAGGTGAGATGCGAGCCCTGGGGAAAGGGGAAGGACTCTCAGGCTGAGAGCCCCAGTCCAGGGGGTGGGGAGGGAAGGGCAGGGCAGCCCCTGCACCAGTCAGGAAGAGCCGGATCCAGGGGGTAGGAGCCCCTAGGGGACGGGAGGGCAGCCCTGGCCCCTCGAGCCCAGGGACAGCCTCGCTCACCAAAAAAGCAGGTTCCTGTTAAATGGAGCTCGGGCAAGGGGGAGCACCAGCGAGCAGGACTAGCAGTTAAATAAAGGAGGCTACAAATGCACAAGCCACTGTCTTCTGGCACTGTAAGCAGCGTCTGAAACTAGAGGCAGAAGAGCTTACCATGTGGCCAGGGCAGACAGGAGCTCAGGAAAGGGTGCTGGGGAGGCAGGGTATCCTCTGTGCCTGGGGTACCTACCGCAAGTGCCCCGGGGCTGTGAATACAAACACACACACATTACCTGGGGTGGATATCCACCAGCAAAACCAGAGTCTGCATGGTAATAATGTCTATCCGCTTGCAGTGGAACCGGGCAACTTTCAACACCTTTAAATAGGTGAAACACAAGATCACCAGTGACAGCATGAAACTGGTGGAGTGAAAGACGATGGTGAACACTGTAAACCTTCTCCGCTCCGTCTCTTCCTTCAGGTGCAAGGTGCAAGAGGCATAAACACTGCTGTAATCTACCCACGAGTAAAACAAGGAAACCAAGGGGAAAGTGAGGGAGTGGAGCCAGGAGTAGCCCATCAGTATCACAGCATCCTTATACCGCATCTTGCTGGTGTAGCTTAAGGGGAACACCACAGCAATCCATTTGTCGATGCTGAGTGCTGCCATGCTCAGCATCGTGTTGGAAGTCAGGAAAGTTTCCAGGAAGCCCACCGCTTTGCAGACGCAGCCCCCGAGGGGTTGCTGATTCTTCAAGATCCCCAGCAGGGTAAAAGGCATGTTCAGGACGGTGAGGAGCAGGTTGCAAAAGGATAAGTTCACCAGGAAAACCCCGGCGACCTGCTTGCGGATCTCTGTACTGTAGACGAAGCATAGCAGCACCAGGAGGTTGGAGAGCAGCGAGACAACCAGCACTAGCACGAGGAGCAACGCCAGCAGCACGCCTGCCAAGTCCATCTCTCAGTGGATCGCTTGGAGCGGGC